CCTAATGAAAAACTACAATGTGACTATGATGTCTTTGATGCCCAGTATGAAAACTGTAAGCAGAGTAGATGCCCAAGTGCTGTCTAAATAAAAACACCTAGATGTGGGTTGGAAATTCCCCAAATCTCTGTGTCTTTGAGTTGTCTTACTCCCCTGTAAATCCCGTATTAGGTGAAGATGGTGCATGCATGAGCCTGCATCCCATCTGGGCATTCTCTGCCTTCAAGAAATTCTGGATTTTTTGGAAGGTGGAGCTTTCTTTTCACTGGGAAGAATTCTTCATTCAGGACAAGCCCACCTTTTCCAGTTGTAAACACTGAGCTATCAGAGCCTAGTTTATCTAAGCATTTGATATCCTCAGAGCTTCCTGATCCATAATCTCAAAGACTTCATACTTCTCATGTTGAATATACCTCTCTGCTCCTTGCTTTGTTCCTTTTTTATTTTTTGAATAAATTTTTTATTTTCAGTCGAATGCATGTAAAGAGTTATAAAATGCATGAGCATAAAATGGCATTAGTATATCTGTGCTAAGCTGTCTAATAAAATCCAGAGGAGGAAATCTCCTCTCCAGGAATCTTTAGATTATGTGGACAGAACTACTAGTGTCACCAAATACTACAAGGGATATTTAAAATGTTTTGCAACAGGAGCAGTCTAATATGTCTGCTGGTATTTGTAGATGTGTCTGCCAAATATTAGGAATGGCTTTACCTTTGAATTATACATTTTAATGTGCATAAGGGGGAAAAAGCTGAACATAAGCTAAATCCTAAATTCAATTGGGTAATAAACACACCATTGAAAGTGGGCCTTAGAAAAAGTTCTAAATTAAAAAGAAGCTGCATGTGCACGGAATGCAGTATGATACATCAATTCTCTAAAGCAACATGTTGTAAAATTTTACTGCTTTCTTGTTGTGTTTTATATCTTGTTCTCTCCAGGCTTCGTGGACTCGACCAGAGAAGCAAGAGGTATAGCTTACCTGACCACTAGCCAGTCTTTAGTTTTGAAAGCATTACAGTTTAACTCACCATTACAGTGTAATAACCAGGCATGCTAAACTAATTAGTATTTTAGTTAGATTAAAGAATAGGTCAATAGTGGTAGATATTACTTTATCAATAGTGTCATTTTAGGATGAGCAAGCAAGCTGTGTTGGGAGTGGATGAACAAATCCTTATTATTTCCTAAAACTGGATCTTATTCTCTTACTGGTGCTGGTAAAATCACATCCAGGTAATTATATTGATAGAAATAAATTGCCCCAATTCCCAGGCCAGGCATTTGAAGTGAAATTTTTTTACTCTTGTATGGTGGATGTGGCTTTGGATCATAAAGTCACAGAGTTAGTGATCTAAAACCCACTCAGCCCATTCCCTTCCAGCTCAACTCATCTTGTTGCTCACTTATTTTCATAATGATTGGTCTTGGTAAATTATCACATCACATTTCATCTCAAAAGCTACACAAGTGACATCTCTCATTGGTTTTTCTCAAATTGCTAAACATACCTGTTACTTTTATAGAGTATTAAATTTATGAGATTGGAATGATTTGGTACAAAATGGGTTTATGTTTTATACAATCAGTAGCATTTAACCTTTGAAATTTTTCTGCCTACTTGCTTCAGTTCAGGTAGTGTGGGACTTAATTTGAAAACTGAAGCTGAACACTGACCTTTAGATTTTAATTGCTGAACTCCAAGGCCCTATGCATGGTCATGCCCGTCATTTTTTACCTGATTTGTGTGATTAAGTGACAAACAATAAAATAAAAACTATCCTACTTTAGATGGAGTTCAAGGATCTAATATATAAAGATTTTTATTGAGTAGCTTTTGTCTCTTCAAACGAAGCTCTGCTATTGTAAGACTGTAAACACAGAAGATCCTATAGATTCTGTGTTTTATTTCTGTAAATCTTATTGTAGTCTTTTAGTAATGATAACTAAAATTTAGAACACATAACTCATGTGTTCAGGTCATAGTATACATATTTAATGCTGCTTAATATTTAAAAGTTGATCGCCTGTCCCCAGGCACAGATAGTTTCTACACATGGACATGCTGCCCTCGCCCTCCTCAAGTCTAGTTCATTATGAGCTCCCTTTGTAACATTCCTTCCCAATGTCATAGGGAAATTTAGTTAGATATGTATCCTCGCTGAAATGCGTCCCTCCTGTGGCACAGGAATCCCTTAGCACTGTCACCGGTTGGATGCTTTATTGCCCCAAAGACATGGACCCTTCAAGACTGGGGAAGGAAGAGAAGAAAGGCTAATTGTCAGCCAGTCTTAAGCAGCGAAGGATCTCATTCTGCTCTGCCTTGTACATTTTCCCCCTGTCTTTCTGGTCTAGACCTAGTTAGAGAAGGAGCTCTGATTTATCAGGGAGCATTAAGGAGACGTTAAGAGAATTATTATTATTATAGGTGGAAATAATAGGTTTACTCCCAAGAAAGCAGACACATCACTCCATTTTCCTGAAGTGTCTTTATCTTGAATGCTGCACTTTGGACATAATTGACTTTCAAGTGAACGCAGCCCGTGGGGCTAAGAAGTTCCATTCTCTCCTATTTGTCTCATTCAGAGATGAAAATCCTAATTCTGGATGAGTGCAAAAAAAATGCTTGGGCTATGGCACGTTTCATTTTGTAATCTCTGGAAAGCCTTAGTACTTTTACCTGGAAGAGGAAGACAAAAAAATGTTTTGATGAGAAGAATAATTGTCATTGTCCTACATATGTTTTTGATTTAAAAAAAAAAAAAAAGAAAAAGATCTTCCTGTCATAAGGATCTCTTCCCTCTTGCCCAGAGCTCATCTTCTCCCGCTAGGGGAGGCTGGATGGTCAGCATAACATCTGGTCTTGTGGGTGGTACTCTCTGACTTTGTCTCCATGCCTGAGTAAGGCATTTTAAGGGAAGATAGTCCAGTTGCACTCAAGTCTGTGTATCCTCAAAGGGAGAACTTGGCATCTGCTAAATAATCCCATCATCAAACTTGCAGTGAGCCACTACAAAATAAGAATTCTCTTTAGAGGACTGCCTACTGATCTGTTGACACCATTAAGTGAGAGAAATTGCCACATAAAGAAACTTAGGAAAAGAGACTAAATAGAAAAAACAAAGTATGATTGTCCCTGATATCATGGTTCTTCCACCACTTCCTTGATTATTCTGAGTAAAACCTGCCTCTCCCCTGCCTTATTGTTGTTAATGTCCACTCTTAACCAGCATGACTTCATTTGCTTCTCTTCCTATGGAAATGTTCTCATGGCTTCCAAGGATTATGGTATATGGCAGCCCCAGGAACAATAAGTCTGGATAACAAAGAATAATAGCTTATCTGATAGTTGACATCCCTGATATAATCAGAAAGGTCAGGTGTAGACCTCACATCCCCTCTGCCTTCAGTTCTGCTGTGTTTTGGGCAAATAGTAGTGACAAACAGATCAGGCCAATTCTTTAGAGAGACCTGCAGGAATGACTTCTTGCCCTTGATGGCCCTAATGCAGACTGATGAGTAAAGATTTATGCTCAGCATATGAAAATAGCCAATAGGATGGGCAGCACAGCGCTGTCAGCTACAAGGAAAGGAGTCCCAGAATTTATCAGCAAACTGGATGTCTCAGTCTTGGGAAATGCCCCACACCTGTCTTCTGACATCTTTCATTAGTGGGAGCCATCCTAGGGTGCACCTTCTCAGGCAGCCAGCCTCCCAGAAGTACAAGTCAAGTGGAAACACCAGGGCCTTCTTCTTAGAAAGTAGAGGTACTCACAACAGCATGCAGTGATGATTTTACTCAGTCCTTCTTCCCCTAATGGGAAGGGTGAGATGGTGAAAGGGGATTATTGTGATAGTTCTGTTGAGATGGCTGCACAAGGCCAGTGGTCCCTTCCTTTTAAGTCTCCCAGACTCACTGCTGTAGGTCATTGCATTTCTGGCTTCAGGCTTCCAAACCAGCTTATCCAAAGGACATAAAGCTAAGTGTCCTTTCATTCTCTAAAGACAGACCACTTGGGATAACAAGTATCAGATGCAGAGCACCCTCTTGTCCATCTCTGCAGAACATCATATATTGGAGATGAGGGTAGCCCAGCCTACAAGGAACATGACCTCTTCTTCTAGTTTCCAATGTTCTGGGGCTTCTGGACTTGGGCCACATGGCTAGACTTTCCTAAGGCTCACAACTATTTTTCTTAGAATGTCAGGAGGGAAATATCTTAGTACCCATTGCCTAAGGATCATATGCTCATTCTCTGTTTGACCAGCCACTGTAATTCCAGTGACTTAGGAGGCCAATAGCAGTATCAATGGCTAGGGAATAGTAGAGACTGTGGTGTTAAGGATCCAAGATCCACACCAGTATTCCTGAAGAAGGAACTTTGTAACCTCACTTCCAGTTCACCAGCACTTGATCATAGAGTTGTTTGACTTTTCTGTAGTAGAATTGTTTCACTTGTAACCAATCAGGAAAGAAAGGCATCTACAGAAAATGAGGTGATTTTTTTCAAAGTTTCTTACATTGTGCACATCCTTTCTTATTACACATGCATGCACATGGAACTGGAGGGGGCGGACTGGAAAGAAAAGGCAAGAGTCCAAGTTTCTTAGGATCTTATAAGACACAGACAGTGCTTCTGGAAGCTATGCTGACTAGGGCTTTGCCTTCCATTTTATACATCCCAAAAAAATAGTCTGGGGGTATCTAACCTGACCTTACCCCAAACCACTTTTAAGTCATAGTGCTGGCCGTTTGACATAATTGAGCCTCCCTTTCTGTTTTGGATACACTCAAGTTCCCATAGTGCTCTCTGAGCCTCCCTCATAGGGTGATACACAAAGTGAGACTTAGATGGCACAGAGAGGAGACAGAATGTGAGACTGGGTTCAGACGAGTGGTGGTGAGTGGTGGCCTAGTCTCTAGCCCCACCCTGCTGTAGCTGCTGTGGCCCTCTGTCTTGCCTCAGACTCTGACACTCTCCCTTCTCTCCTGGCAGACTCTGGATGGGCACATGGTAGTGCGTAGCCACGCCCGAGTATCATCCTTGACCCTGAAAAGCATCCAGTACACAGATGCGGGAGAGTACATCTGCACGGCCAGCAACACCATCGGCCAGGACTCGCAGTCCATGTACCTTGAAGTGCAATGTGAGGAAGAACTGGGGGAAAGACATGGGGGATGAGGGGCATTATGGGGTCAGAAGGAGAGAGGAAAATGGTAGCCAGGACATGAACTGCACCCTGTGAGCTTTGTCACATTCCCTATAGCAGTGGGCCCTAGGCCAATGCAAAGCTGTGTTCCCAGGACAACCCCCACACACCATCCATCGGCTGACAATTTATAAGCCTTCCTTGCTCTGAGTCTTCCCAGGTGGCAGCTGAGCACAGGAATACTGAAATGGCCTGACCTCTGCGATTTCAGGCATTAGTTTTGCTTTGGGGCACATCAGTCTTCCCAGGATCAGGCAATAGTATGTGGTGGCTCTAAGGTAGTAGTGGTCATCCTGATAGTCGCTATCATTCATTGCAGATGCCCCCAAGCTACAGGGCCCTGTGGCTGTCTATACTTGGGAAGGGAACCAGGTGAACATCACCTGCGAGGTATTTGCCTACCCAAGTGCTACAATCTCCTGGTTCCGAGATGGTCAGTTGCTGCCAAGCTCCAACTACAGCAATATCAAGATCTACAACACACACTCTGCCAGCTATCTGGAGGTAAATCGGGGTGGAAAGAGTCATTTGGCAATGGGTAAGCTTTTGAATGCAGCTTACATCTTCTCTCCTGCTTCCCTGGCACACCCTGAACTGGGTAGCCATTGACTGAGGAAGAATCTGAGTCTCACCCCAGGTTACCTTTCTGGGATGCACTGATGTTCTCCATGAGGCTACACTGGGATGATGAGGTAGAATGTGCCTATCCAAAGAGCCCCTGGGCTATTCTTTCTTGTTCAAGACTGAGCCACAGTTAATGGTTTGTGTTTTATTAGCTCTGTTCTTCACGAATCTAATCCAGTAAATAAGGATCTGAATCTGTGGCCATCCCACAGGACACTTGTAACCCAAGGGCTCCTTCTTTCCAAAGGTGACCCCAGACTCTGAAAATGATTTTGGAAACTACAACTGTACTGCAGTGAACCGCATTGGACAGGAGTCCTTGGAATTCATCCTTGTGCAAGCAGGTGAGTGGCCCTCATGGTGATTTCTACACCACCTTTACCCTTGCCAGCCCTTCCTGTGTATTCTGGGATACCAAGGGGGTGGAAAGGAGAGCCAAGGGTTAGAAAGCAAGGAGCCGTTGGAGGTTTGAAGACCTACACATGGAATGTGTTGGAGTAGAATCATACGGTGAATGGCTAGGCCAGAATATTGGTAACAGGATTCCTAAGAGTAAGTAGAAATGAGAAAGATGTACTTTGACATTGGAAGTTGAGGTCTGGGCCAAACTAGACTCACCAGGGTCTCCCTGTGTGTCCTCTCCACAGACACCCCATCTTCACCATCCATCGATCAGGTGGAGCCGTACTCCAGCACAGCACAGGTGCAGTTTGATGAGCCAGAGGCCACAGGTGGAGTGCCCATCCTCAAATACAAGGCTGAATGGAGAGCACTGGGTGAAGAAGTGTGGCATTCCAAGTGGTATGATGCCAAAGAAGGTAGGTCTGGAAGAGAGCATCTCCTACAGGATCATGAGCACATTGTATTCACGTACTCACTCCCAGTATTTGCCAGATCCTGGCTACCCATTTGAGTAGGCGCCACAGGGCTCTTACCTACTAGAGCATGCCAGATTTCTCCATCAGCCATCCCATCTGGATTCCTGTGGCATTGGGAACTGTCCCTCCAGAATTAGGTCACACTCATATCTCCTTGGAAAGTTGTCCTTCTGCATTCTGGAGCTTCGGAACTTAGTTTTCAACCTTCCTACCAAGGAGATTGAGGCCATCTTGGCCATGTTCCAGGTAGGAGCTCTGCTTAGGTGCTGAGCATAGCCAGACTGAGTGCAGGGGACCCCTGCTCTCTTATGTCAGGTAACTGTGTCCCAAGGTCTTTGCTGACACCTGACCATCCCTGCTTGGGTGTCTGTACCCTGGGACTGTCGTGTAATTATGACGGGAACCAAATAAGTAGAGCCAGCAAGGTAAGTCTGCTCTAAAAGCAATCCTAAGATATCTTTCCAAGCTAAAAATTAAGGAAATGGCCTCTGGATGACTGCAATTTCAAGATCTGAGCCCAGATCATTTGTGGATGGAATATATTTATGTCTACTCCCCCTTTGGAGTTTAATTGGAATAACTTGGGGAATTATGTTGAGTTTCTGTAGAAATTTTTAATCTTAGCCTGGTGTGTGGGAACTGGGATGGAATTGGGAATTGGCATTGCGGCCCTTCAGAGACAGGGCCCCGTGCAGTTTTCCTGGGAATCGCTTCCCCCTTCTGCTTAGAGGTGGAGAGTGCAGCTGAGAGGAACTGTTTTGTAATCAGGATTAGAACAAAAAGAAAACAATCCTTTTGCTTTCCTCACTTCCTTCTGAAATGTCATACCACTGACTTTATGGCAGATTGGTCCCATGTTACAATCTGTGCCAAACTTTTTTCTTTTTTTAAGATCAATTGTAGTTTGGGCTTTTTTTTTTTACTGTGGCAAAATATATATGCCATAAACTTTACATTTAAGTGTTTTTAAGTGTTCAGTTCAGTAGCATTAAGTCACAACCATCACCACTATCTATCTCCAGAACTTCTCTGTTTTCCTAAACTGAAGCTCTTTACCCATTAAACACCAGCATCTCATTCCCTCACCCCCCTCTGGTCCCTAGTAACTGCCATTTTACTTTCTGTCTCTATGTATTTGGTTATTGTAGATACCCCTTATAACTTGAATCATACACTTTTTCTCCTTTTGTGTCTGGGTTATTTCATTAACATAAATGTCCTCAAGGTTTATCCATGTTGCAGCATGTATCAAAATTCCATCCCTTTTTAAGATAATAGTCCATTGTCTTTACCACATTTTACTCATCCATTCATCTATCAATGGGAGGCTGTTTTGGTTGTTTCTACCTTAGAAAGGTGAATGGTGTGAATGCTGTGAATGTTGCTTCTGTGGACATGGGTGTGCAGGAATCTGTCTGAGTCCTTGCTTTCAGTTCTGTGACTGTGCCCAGAAGTAGATTCGCTGGATCAAACAATGGTTCTGTTTAATGCTGGGGAGGACCTGCCATATTGTTTTCTGTAGCACCATTTTCCCAGGAGGCTTCTGCGCTCTTGAGATCCACCTCATATTCTCTCAACAGCCAATATGGAGGGCATTGTCACCATCATGGGCCTGAAGCCAGAGACAACCTACGCAGTCCGACTGGCAGCCCTCAATGGCAAGGGGCTAGGCGAGATCAGCGCAGCCTCCGAGTTCAAGACGCAGCCAGTCCGTAAGTAAAGCCAGCTGCCCAGCCTTTGCCTTATACCCACCCTCTTCTCTTTGGGAACAGCCAGGGACTCTGAGCTGGCCCTGTCTCTCAAGTCCTCTGCTCATGGCAGCCCCATCTCCTAGTTCTCTGGCTCTCAGGGTTGGCTAACACACACTCCTTTCAGTCTGTCTTGCTCAGAGGCATTGGGAACACTGTCCTAGTAGCTGGTCTGGCCAGTTGGACTGTAAGAGTGGGAATAAACCCCAGGGTGGGGTGGGTGAAAGATTGGCTTTTTGACAGGCCACAGAGGCCCTAAGCATCTGTAACATGAAGGAAGAAGGAAGACAGTGACAGTTTACATGATTTATGGTGGGATTTTTGATGCAGCAGAGGTACTAAGTCAGACAGAAATGGAGAGTGATGTAGGATAAATAAGCAGGAGCAAAATCTCAACCACAACAGAGGAAAAAGGATGGCCATGTCCTTGGACTTTTCTGCTCCTCATGTTCTCCTTACCTCACAGGCTCTTTCAAGAGAGCTGCTTCTCCCAGATTCTTCCCAGGGCTGCATCTCTGTTTCCTTCCACCATCCCCTTGACTCCAGCTGTCCCTGCTTGGCGTTGCCCTTGCTTCCCACAGAAGCCAGGCTCTGAGTAAACTCTGCTCTGGCCATGTCCCTCTGCACACCAGAGCTGCTGTTCTGGGAGGCTCTGGAGTCTAGCCAGCTGGAGAATACTCTCCAGAATACACTCATGAGTAGCTACAGGCCTCTCCATGTGTCCCTGGGCTCCTGGATTCAATGCACATGGGAGAGTCCTTTGCTCTCTTGTCTTGAGAGCCAGGACCCTGTAAAGGGACCCCATTGCCTCTTCCCAAAAGTAGAAAAGCCCATCTCATCTTCCTTCTACAGGGATTGCTTCTTTCTGGATTTGAAGTAATTTGATAATTTGAGTTTCCAGCTCCAACTCTGCGGATTCTGTTCATTTCTTTTACATCTTATTTTTTTTTTCTTGGGTCTGTCTCTTGGCTTTTCTTTTCGTCTGTGTTCCATCCATGGGAAATGCAGATAGCCCTCCTCCACGTAAGTGCCTCTTCATACCTCATTACCTTTTTCCATAGCATTAACATCTGCTAGTCCTAGTTCTTAATTTAGTTTTGGTCCCTTTTTTGTTCCCTAGAGGCTGAAGTAGATGACACCGTCTGGGCCCTAACCACACTGACCTTAGTCTAGTTGTACCCTTGTTAACGTCTGTAGGTTACTTCAAGAGGCTAACACTCTGTTTTAGAGCATGCAACTTCTGTGTTTTGGAAATTGTGTTTACTTATTAATTTTTGTGTGTGGTGATTACGCTTGCCCTGTGGCAAAGATAATGTTTGCTGAGCCATGCATGGTGAAAGTCTGCAGATGGTCCCTGAATAACATGCCATGGCACCACCTCACCGTTAGCCAGTGTGCCAGAAAAGTGACCACAGCCTCAGCCAGCCACTATTCAGCATCCCTTTAAGGCAAAAAGAACCTGAGTTTTCACGTTTGCTTTTAGGAAATGAAAGAATGGAGCTCAACTGATTCCTTGTTTTTCTCTCAGTTGGCAAGGATGTAAGGATTGGCTGGGGACCCCTTCACACAACAACTGCAGTTCTAACAATGTAGCATGAACTTTGTGCTCAGGCAGTTATTGTGGGTCAAACCCATAGTTCTCAGCTGTATTTGTTAGCATTGGGTAACTTGTAATGTGTATTTCTGGGTTTAGAAAAGACTGAACACCTAATCTAGTAATTCTCCGCCAAGGATAAAGAGAGGGTGATTTTTCACAGGAAGGACGATCAGATTGTATAAACTGTAAACGCAGGACATAGAAGACAAGGATAACAGTGTGCTGGGAGTGGACCTCTGGTCTGACCCCTTGGGCCTTTGTAGACGTCTCCAGGCTTCACTTTGCTGTGACTCAGCTCTCTCTTCTTAGTCTGAGCTCAACCAGGAATGGTAGGAGGCAGGCATTACTCAGACAGACCCAGAAGAAAAGGTATTCAGGAAGCTGCACCTCTTTTCATAAAAAGCTGTTGGCTGCAGAAAGACACTCAGGGGAACTTATTTTAAAATTTATTCACAAATATTGCAGCAACAGGAAAAACTAAGTAGCTAAGTGTGGATGTTAGGAGTTTCTGAGCAAGTGGTAAATCCACTGTCTCAGCTGAGGTGGTGTTGGAATGCACCATCTTGGCTGGGTGCCAGGGTGGGGAATGGAGTTGTCAGGTAGGACTAACAACTGGCTGCTCTGGGCTGCCAGCTTGCCTCAAGGAAGTTCATGAGGAGCCATCTGGCTGGGAGAAGTCCTTCTTCCTAAATCCTCCCCCAATGCTTAACTGGTCCTTCAACTGAGTCTTCGAGGTTCTTCTTTTCTAGATGTGATCAGTAAACTAGTGCTAGCTTTGTTATATTAAAGACAGGGAGGGTGGAATGAGGACTGCTATAGAGTTCCTCACCCGGGACTGGAGTTTTAGTATTGAATCAGAGTGACTGGGTCTTGGACTTCAAAGGCCACATTGGTTTTCATTCATTTCCAGTTTAGGCCTGACAAAGATGAGATTTTCGTAGTAGCAAAGGCTATGGTTCTAAAGTTAGTGTTGAAAATTAAATGTTTAATTAAAATGTTTAATTTTAGGTTTGCTTCTTAATTTTTGAAAAAACAGAGACCTCTCAACCTTGTCGTTTGTTGTCTAGTAACATGAAAATGGCTAATTAATCAAGATTCCAAGAAGTCCGTTGGAGGATGATAGCATCATCTCTCCATTTCACGTAGATCATGAATAATACAATAGCAGTGTCACGAAAGTCAGTTTTTCTCAATCATGTAATAAAGCTATAATTTAAAGAATAAGAAAACAAACTTCTAGATAAGTAGAACAGAGGCATAGTCTTAAAATTTAGTGTGCCTGCATCAAGAATTTAGGCAGGACAAGGTGGGGGGAACATCATACTCGCACCAAAGAGACTTTTTTAGTCTTTCTTTGCACCTTCATATGCTTCCCAGAGTTGCTAACATGTGGGCCTAGCCCAGGGAGCAGCCTGCTGCCCCTAGGTCTATCCTAAAAAAGGATACTATTGAGGGGACAGTGCCAGCATTCACCACTGCTGTGACAAAACCTACTTTTTGGTACTAGGAAGTGAGGACAAGTCTTAGGAAGGACTTTCTCGGAATTTTCAGTACCACTCTTTGGAAGGCACTAAGATTGCCTGAGCTCAGGCAAACAGGATCATCCATCAGTTTAGCTGTGTGTTTTCAATAAGCCTAAGAGCCAATAGTATTGGTTTCCACCATTGGCTCATTTCACCCACTGACAGTGCACTCTCATCCTGAAGGACTTCTGGAGAGCAGAACTGTGCTGCTCCTATAACAGCAGAGTCAGGCCTGAGTGCACCCTCAGCCTCAGGGAAGAGAAGGCATAGGAGGCATAGGGCCAGCAGGGACTAGCATTGCTGAACAGAGAGGTATTGGCTGCCAGAATCTTGGGTTGAGAGGTGTTAGTTGAGCCCACTGATTTAGTCTTATTAGGGAGATGTCTCAATAGTAAGGCTCCTTAGTAGACTTCTCTACATTCAGGGACATGGATATATCAAAGCCAGAGACGATCAGAGGACACTAAGGAAAGTCGCAATTACTGAACATCCCTGGTACAGTTCATAGGTGTGTATGATGGTAATGAGTAAGCTGTGGCTCTAGACAAACAAAATTCTAGCCTGGGGAAATGTCCCTGTTTCATGTATTTTTAAACCAAATAACTGCATGGTGTCAAGACACTCAAGTGGAAAGATCATGACATCTGTTTGCCTTGGGAGGAGCAGCTTTCCTGTCAGAACTATTTACAACATCTTATGAACCTTTTTTTCTCCATCACTGAGCCACAACCTGTATAATTTCATTGCCTAAATACTACTTCTTAATTTGCTTCTATGCCATGAACCAAAATACTATAGAATGTTTCTTGCAAGGCATAGATGCATACATATGATTCTCTACTTAAAAAATGTCTTGAGGGCTGAGGATTTGGCTCAGTGGTTCCAGAGCCTGCCTCGAAAATATGAAGGTCCCAAGTTCGATCCCCAATACCAAAAAAAAAAAAAAACTGTCTTGAGGTTTTTGTTTTCATATGTTGTCCTCTAGGTGACATATGCAACTGTATGTTAAATGTATTATAATGTATGTGTTTTAATCACATAAAATTTAATTCCTTTGCCATAATAATACTGACAATTGAGCAAGTAATCTAAACCAAAAAAATAAGAGAGAGAAAGAGAAATACGCTTTTACTTGAATGAACCTGGCCATCCAATCACGACAAGTTAATAACCTATCTTGCTCTGATTTTAGGAACAGTGTACTAAATGTTTTAATCAAATATCCTCAACTAGAAGGTAAAGGAGGACCAAACTATGAGCATTCAGGCTATTCTGGAAATATGTTGATGCTTTTCCAAATTTTTAACTAGCTCCCAAAAAGGACTTTGTCTTGTGATTATTGAAGGGACAACTTCTGAGTATTTACCAACAAAAAACTAAAAATCCTTCAGTGGTCCACGTGATTTGAGGACACAATTTCTAACCATCCACCATGTAGAAAATTGCTTAATGATATTTTTTTAGCCTGCATCTCTTCACCCTTCCCTTTCCCTGGGGGAGCAGAGATAACTGAGTATTACTGGCATCGCTCTGCCATAGCAACATCTACACAGTCACTTTCCGCAGGAAGTTTTCTACAGGGCAGCAGTGTTTTTAGTATCATCTGTATGATAAATGATCATGAACCTTACCATGTCATTAAGTAGGACAGTCTATTTTTGTTTCATTCAGTTACTAAAATTAGAGAGTGAGGCATGAACGCTTTGCAGATGTGCCATATATATGGAAATATGTGCCTCTGTGGAAATATGTATATACAATGTGACCTGATAAGCCAAAGTCTTTTTACCCACTAACAACCTACCTTTGCTGAGGTCTAGGTTCCCTTCCCTACTGTCCTTCTGATCCTGTGGAGACAGCTGGTACTGCCAAATTGGCTGTTTTCAGCCAGGGTTTGAAGCTTTTGCAGCTGCTCCTGGCCCAGTCTTTTACCTGAACAGCAGGCCTTGGCAGGCACTTAGCCTTCTGGTTTGAAGTTAGAGAGCTCTGCTGTCAGCTGGTCTGCTGGCCACCTGTTCCATGCATGGTGTTTCACTTCCCAACCTTATGGCTCTACAGCTCCTCATACTGAAACCCCAAGATTGCCACTTTCAATTTTTCATTCAGTATCTGTGTGCTTCCATGATCTATTCCCCTTCCCTTTTTTGTTTCACCTTTATTTTTCTTTCTTTAGCAGCTCCTGCTAGCTCTTCTACCCTTGCTCCATTGTCTTCACCAGCTAGTGAGTATCATTTTCTTCATCCATCTCTCTGCAGGTTGCTTTCCACCAGCCAGTTTGTCTGCCTAATGTTGTCTCTTTTACCAGATGATAGTTCAGCTCAGATGGTGAAAAGCTGCATTGGGTTTTAGAGAATCAAATAAAAGGAGACATAGGTGCACAGCCTCTCAGATTCAAGGGAGGCAAGAGAGACCATTGCTCTGGATAGGAAACCCTGCAGACAGATTTCTTGAGGCTGCCACGGCTGCCCCTATCCTCAGGATTCCCGGTGGGCTGGACTAAAGCTGATATTTGGAAAAGCCAAAGGAATTTACTAAGAAAAATGTCTGCTCTACAGGGTCAAACAAAATCCTTTGAGGTGTTGTGGTCTTACCCTTTATTTTAATTGGCACAGTTAGACTCCAGCACTGAAATTAGATAGTGAGACCTATAGCTCTCACTTTATCCATAAATGCATATATATCTCATAAATATTTGTGGGAAAATAAACGGTATCTGCTGACATACGTGCCTGGCAGTAGGCACTTAGGCAAATTATTTAACCATTTTTAAGTGAGGTTTCTTTCTCTCTAAAATAGAATAAGCATTCCACCCACTCCCTTTAGAAAAGAGCAAACTTTTCAGCTTTTATCAAGGTGAGCTTTGCTCACCTCAGATGAGTACCAGTGACCCAGCAGGAATGTTGACTGGTCAGTCTCAGGCTTTGTCATCCTTGCTGTCCCTGGCCCAGTGCCAGCCATTGCACTTTGCTACTGTGGTCCTTTTGTAGAGTAGAGAGAGCTCCAGGCCTGCTGCTCTCTGGAGTTTTGAACCTAGGTTTCTAGGTAGAAGAAGATGGACAGCTGCTGAGCAAGCACAGGATGCAACACCAGTCCTGGCTTAGGGCAGCACAGAGTAGCAGGTGTGCAGGCAGGGGAGCCCTGCCCAGTTGGCTTTATCCTTCCTTGTACAGCAGAAGCCATTATGGTATGGGCTCAGCCTCAGGAGGAGACTCAAACCCCAAGCCCAGAAGCCTCCTTTTACCATCTTTTTGACTCAGAAACATGCCCACAACTCCACACCTGCCATTGCAGGCAACACTAGGAGTTCATCTTTGGAACCAGGCTGACCTGGGATCAGATCCCAGCTCTGCTACTGCTGCCTGCAGCTCTATGACCTCAGATGAGTCACTCAGCTTTCCTCAATCTCAGGTTTCTCATCTCTAAAATTAAGGACAAATTATACTTACCTTGTAGATGTTTGTGAAAAATTAGAAATTGAACATTTAAAAGATGCAAAACACAGTGCCCAGCATATAGCAGCTGGGATAAATAGTAAGAATAAATGGTTATGTTATTTCTTGCTGCATGAGAGTCATTTGTCAGCAAAAGCCCTGATAATATATCTAAATATTTATATTAATATTGATACACCAGGGATGAAAGGAATTAAAGATGTCTCCTTCATTATCTCTGTCTTTTCTTTATAGTGATACCTATATTTAAATAGATATACAAACATATGTACAATATATATATACCAAATTATGAGTCTATCTATATTTTCCCCTTCACCTTTATGTGCCCTTTCTGTCCTTCATGTTTCCATAGCAACCTGGCCTTCTCCTGCCCTTACAGCCACAGAACAGTCTAGTGAGTACCAAGCTGAGCTGCTCTCAGCCCCATCTCTGTTTCTGCTTGCTGTAGAGCCAACTTCAGGGTTACAGTGCTGCCTGATGTGTCTCTTTTTATTAAAAGCAACAGTTGTGAATGCATGGAGGCTCCTAGCCTAGAATGGTTTCCTAAGCATGCTGTTTGCTTGGCCAAGAGAGCAAACCAAGCATCCCCAAAAGAAAGGGGGTAATTATTCAGAGAATACTGTGTGCATGAGAAGGCCTTTCCAAATTGACTTTCACGTTAAAAATAGAAAAGGATTAGGGAAACGCTGAGTAGACAAAGAACAGCAATTCCTTCTCAGCTTTCTCCTCCTCTGAAACACACACACACACACACACACACACACACACACACTGTAACAGAAGGACTTGAGCAAGGGAAGGAGCAGGAGGAAATGGCTGCCTG